TTTGTTTTGTTTCTCTTCTTCTACTTTCTCACTCTCTCTTTTTCTCTCTCGCTCTCTCTCTCTCTCTATCTCTCTTTGACTATGCGCGCGACGATGTTACGCTCGGTTAGACTTAACGTCGTTTATTTCATTGAATTTTTCCGGAAATTGACACACAAATTGGTATACCCTTTTTTCTAGGTTGGAAACAAAAAAAAAATGCAAAATAAAAATTACCGAATCAAATGTTGTACAATTTTTTAATGGAACAATTCAAAGAAATTTACTTTACAGTTATTAATTCGACAACGAATTTCATTTGTTTTCTCAATAAACCGTAGGCTAATAAATATATGAATTTAAAAGAGATAAAAAATTATTAAATATAATCACCTTAATTACAGTGTTTTAAATTCTCCAGAAGCTCCTACTATTTTAATCAAATTCAAATGAAATTTGATATGCACGCTTTTTATGATTTTACGGAAAAATACAAGCTACTTTAATCATACAAAATATTAACTGTAAAATAACAAATATAAGAGAAAAGTAGGAGCGCATTTTGGAAATGACATAAACCTAGGTGTATAATAAACGACGATCGAGTATTGTTGCTTTAAATAAAAGTTCATGCATAAGATAAAACAAAGAAGATAAAAAGAAAAGACTCACCAAAAACGGGACTGAGGTCGGACCTAGCCGACGTCTTGCCCGTCGTAGCGTAGTTCCCAGCGAGCGAGCCCTTTTCCTGCAACAACACACACACATCATCGTCCTTATGGGTTGGTGTCCCGTCTCTCCCGGTAAGAATAGAAGAATGACGTAGGACGTAGTTGTACTGATGAGGATGAAGACTAGTAGTAGTAGTAGTAGTAGTAGTGGTAGTAGTAGTAGGAGGAGTAGTATGATGATGATAATGATGATGATTATCGTAGCGCACCTCGGACTCCGTAAGGTCGATGAGGGAGCTCTTCTCTTCGGTGAGGTTTTCCGAGGACCTCTTCTCGTCCTCCCCCTCATCCTTGAAAACCTTGACCTCGTCCTCGCTACCGAGATCGTCGCCGCCGCCGCTGCTGCTGACGTGCGGCATTATTGCGGGCCGAGCGACGGCCACCGTCGTCGTTGTCGTCGTCTTAATCTCCTCCCCGACAAAAAATAACACCACCAAAAGATATTTATAACGTTACAATGATCCTCGTTAACGTCGCGTTTTGTCGCGTTTTGTCGCGTTTTTTTCCCCTTGTCCTTTCCTCTTTTCTTGAGGCGCAGTATACAACAGGGAAGGACCTAAGCGGGAAATTCAAATTTATCCCTGTTTTGACTCGTAAACTTAAACAATTTGTTCTCTTTTTCTTTCTTTCTTTCTTTCTTTCTTACTTTCTTCTTTGGCCTTTCATCGAATTCACAAGTGTACTTTCTTTTTCCAGCCGTCGGACTAAGAACCACGATTCGCGAGATCGAACTGGACAATAAGTATTTCGGTTCACCTTAGGTCACTTCCAGTAAAGGGGTGGGGTGGGGGGGAAAGGGCGGAACACTGAAAAACGCACGATTCGTGAAACAAGGGTTGTTGAGGGGCTAGGTCGGGGGACAACACGACTACTAGCTCGACAAAGCACTCAAGCACTCTTTCTTTTCTTCTCTTTAGATTTCTTTTTTTTCTTCGCTGAATATTCCCGCGCGCACAGTAAAAGAAGAACGAAGAAAACAACACAAATATGCGCGTGTGTATGTCGCACGCGCGAACAAAAAAAAAAGTAAGTGAAAGAGAGACACCCCGGTGGCAGCGTCGAGAATGTGAAGGAGAGGGTCGCTCGTCGGAGAAAGGAAGGGCACACGAAGAGGGAAAGAAAACGGACCAAAAAAGAAGACAGAGATAAACGAAGACGAGAGATACAACAGTGGAAAGAAAGAGAGAACGAGAGAAAGAGAAAGAGAAAGAGAAGAGTCAAGGGACAGGGAAAGAGAGACGGATAGGACGTATGTTTTTACGTGTCGCGACGAGGCGTGCGTTGCGTGCGGGTGTAAGTAAAGTATGTATGTGTATATATAGATATACGTGTGTGACGCGCGCGCGTGGCCGCGCGCTCTTTTAGTGCGCGGCGCAACTGAGCCGAGCCTCGCGCTTTTCTCGCAGCGCGGATCCTCGCAAAGAAGACGACGATTCTGCTGCTATTACTGCTGCTGCTGCTACTGTTGTTACTGCTGCTATTACTGCTGCTGCTGCTGCAGCTACTATTGTTGCCGCTGCTGCTACTGCGTCTGACGTTGTCGTTATTGTTGTTGTTGTCGTTGCCGATGTCAATTCTATGTTTTTAGTAAGAAGAAAAAAGGTTGGTCCGCAACAATAACTCTGTCGGTAATGTGTTTTATCCTCGTGTTGTTGGCGAAGCACGTTGGCGAATCCACGACTACGACGACGAGGAAAAAGAGGCTGTTCGAGATTGCGAGAAGACGATGACGATAACGAGGACGAGAATAACGAAGAGGATGACAGTAGTAGTCCGTGATAATGACGACGATAATACTGATATTTGTTGTAATGATGTTGGTGCCGGTCCACGCGCCGGCCGGCCATCGTGACCCGCTCGCGGGATACCGAGCAATTAAAGTACCGCGAGCGACCGAGAGCAGCCCCGCGCGACTAAGCTCCAGCAGACGTGTACGTTTTGCTCGCTACTGTAAATCACCCACGCACACATATATCTATATATCAACAACAACACACTCCTCCAACAATCTCTCTCTCTCTCTCTCTCCCTCTCCCCTCTTTCTCTTTCTCTCTCTCTCTCCCTATCTATTTACCTATTTACCTATCTACCTATCCTTCCCTTTCTTTCTATCCCTTTTCTATCACGATGTACGCGGCGATGAGAGAGAGCTGGTGCGTGCGCGCGCGCTACTACCCTGTCTCTCAATTACTCTCTCTCTCGCGCTCTCTCTCTCTCTTTCTCTCTCGTGTTTCGATACCAAATCGGTCGATCCACTCCGCCTGAATGCTCGGTGCCGACTGCCGGCGTCGCCGAGCTCGGGCGGGCGGCTCTCCCACGCGACGACCAATCACGACGGCGTATTCGCCGGCGCGCCGACGCGCCACCTCGCCCCCCGCAACACAGACACACCGGCCAGTCATGGCAGGCAACCACGACCGAACCGAACGAACCCGACCGCCCGCCGAGCCCGCCCGACCGAGCCCGATTCTCCCTCCATCTCCTCTCTTATATCCAACTGATTCCTACTCCTACTCCATCGACTGTCTAAGAGAGAAAGAGAGAAAGAAAAAGAAAGAAAGAAACAAATTTCTATATATAGTATATGTATGTACACTGGACTTATGTATAGAATGTATATATGTATATACATATACTAACCGTGCGTTGATCCAACAATCGATGCCGATAGATTTTTTTGTAAATTCCTCGATATATATCTATCCCTTCCTCGATTCATTTATATTTTTATCCCTTACGTAAAAATTTCAAATCTTCGATAGTGAACACGTTCGTATCATTCTAATAACCCTTTTGCACGGATGATGTCTTTTTAATTAACAAAACACTCTAATATTAGCCATGAACGGTTTATGAGTGGACTCAAGATTAGTTTAGTTATAGAGTATTTCGTAGGTTGTATTTACGGATCTCGATAGGGGTTCGATAACGGTCGAAAATGAGCGCCATTAATGAGTTCAAATTTTAGCGCGTAATCCCTTTACTCGTAGCACTTCGATTCCTCCGTTTATCCATGTATATAAGTGTTACGTATGTATATACATTATCGTAATTATGCCAATTGCGTAATTGGAAATACGATCGGTGGTCGCAGGGGTTTAACGCCGCGTAATTTCCATAGAAACGAGGAAATCCGTACACGAAGAACAACATTTACGCTCTGGCATATGTATTTTGTCAACGGCGACTCGACCGAGTTCACACTTTTATATCGACTACGTTGGTGTGCGCGTATACGTTTATAAGTGGTATGTACTGCACGCACACGTATATTCGTTAAACGAATTCTCTGGGATTATGAACGAGGTGAGAGTCAACGCAACAAAATTTCGAGCATTACGCGTTTTCTGCAAAGACGACGACTACGACGACGACGACGACGACGACGAAGACGACGACGACGAGTTCAAAGAAAAGAAAGAAAAAAAATGGCGCTTAAGTGCATTGCTTTCGAAATTACGACGGTGATCGTCGACGAATCGCGGCTACACGTTGAAACGTATATAATCGTTCGTACGATGTTGAAAATTTAATATGTCGTGAAAGCTTCTAAATTCGTCATGTACCGCTGCACGTTTCCATTTCCGTACCAACGATTTTCACTGATCTTTCTTTTTCTTCTTGCTTTTACTTGAACGTCACACAAAAAACTGACCAATTTCGATAGATGACGATCGTTCGTTATGATTGGCTAATATTTAAATTGAATCTTTTGTTTGGAATTATAGACAAATTTTCTTTTGTTTTTATTTTTTGATTCTTTTTTTCAATAATATTATTATAATTATATCCTTGTTTATAGGTGCGACATAAATTTAATACATAAATATGTTTATTTTCTTCTTACATCTTTCAAATAAATTGAAAAATCAGTTTTAATTTTAATGGTCTAGCAGGGACATCTATAATGGTGAGGGAATATAATAAGAACGGCATCGGTCTGACTCGGTGCATAAGAGGATGTTCTACTTTATCGACTTGTACTCGACTATGTGTTTTACGTCTCTTCACAAAGTTCGTAAGGTTTAAGTACGTTACCTACCTACGTCCTGCACGCAACTAGACGATATTCCTAACGGCCGAGTAATGCTGATATACATGTATGTACTTATATATATATATAATTAAATTTGTAAATATTTTATTATTCAATAGAAGACACATTTTTACTATTTAGATACAACTTTGTAAAAAAGGTTTAGATTTGAAAGATAATTATATAATTTTTATAAATTCTCTCTCTCTCTCTCTCTCTCTATGTATATATACATATCTATAGAAGTACTTGGAATATACTTGTACATATATATACACATTGTTTTTCATCGAGTACACATAGAAAAATAATTCGCAACTACCTCGTAAGGTAAATGAGAGGGAAAAGGTGACTTTTATAAACAACACATCTTAGTTTGGTTTTAGATAGCGCCGAGACATCTATTAGGTGGCAATTTTCTTACCCACTGTTCGTTTCCTACGTAATTTCAAATGTTTTCCAGAAATAGACGGTTTACGAAGTTTCTGTAGTTGATGAACTTGTTCTTGCAAATTAATTAACGAAGACATTACTTTTGTTCCAGTGTAACGTGATTTGAAGCCAATTAGATTACTGAAACGACATACATATATTTAGATTATGACAATTTTTAATTGACCTAATTATGTACATACCTCTTATCTTGCTGATTATTCTTCGAGGCTAAAAGAAACAACGATTCCATTAATTCAAGAGATATTCCACGAAAGGATTTGCAAAGATTATTGTCACGATAGTTCAGGACAATTTTCGTTGGCACTAAGCGTTTTGAATTGACGATTGTCTTAAACCAAGGATGTAACAAATTGCTTTTAAAAAGTTGATCATACGTGAGTTTCTCCAAATGTGCCACGAATTCAGCTTGTTTGAGCAATCGACGAATGTGGCCCTGGAAATAAAGAGTCGAGTGAAATCGTTTCTATTTGCTCTGACAAGTAACTACTCCTTATTTGCCTTTTGTATCTGTATATAAGTGTGTACGTATGTATATGAGTATATATACCATTTTCTGTAAACCTTGGATGTCGTTGACGGCGAGGCCGATCATCAGGTTCATTAGAACCATACTCATGAGTAATACAAAGCCAAGAAAGATGACCTTAGCGGTAAAAGTTAGAAAAAACTTATCAGTCTTGGTATTGTTTGGAAAAAGATCCGTGTAATCGTATTCGCCCATCATCATTACTATGATCTTTACGATGGAATTCCAGCAATCATGGAACTGTTCGTTCTCGTAGAACAAAACGGTAAAGCTCAATGCGAATCCAAAGATCATGCAGGTGAATGCTAGGAGTACCTAAAAGTATTGAGTAACGAAAAGATATGAAGTGATTTTTATTATCATAGAAATGCAAACTGTTACCATGCCAACCTTTAAGATATTCGACAAGACTGTTGAGAACATAAGAGCGTAATATCCCCAAGTTGGAAAACGTCCTATCAGCAGCATCATTTCTATCCAGCCCAGTAAAATGGCGATGCTGATGAGATGTAACACAAATTTGGGAGTAGATATTTCATTTTTCGTATCTATGATGATGAACTGGTGATTATCGACGATCATGCAAGCCATGAACGATAATGCAGCGCTTATGAAGGACAACCATATTTCGAATTGTTTCATGTAATGTCTGTAAAAATTCAAATAATTATAATATAAGAAAAGATAATTTATAGATAATAATTACCTTGGTAACAACGAAACCTGGATACTGTTATTAAGTAACAATATGGTTGAACAAAAGAAAAGTATGATTTGTGGTATGAAATAATTACTTTTTCGAAGAAGAGTTATGGCAAAGATTGATAAGGAGAGAACGAAAAAGACGTAAAAGAGGAAATAAAGGAAAAAAAAGAAACGCAATTTGGCCCATTTCAAGCAAAGAAACGTCTCGATCAATGGATGCTGCAAAATCGCCAATTTTTCGACATTCGAAGTTGCAGTTATGAAAGCTATGATAACGTTGGTTTGAAGATCTCTCTGGGGTGCCAGAATGCTGAAGTCGACGGAGATCTGAAATAAACGTTTTTTTTTTTTTTTTTTTTTTTTTTTTTTTAATAATATGCTCATTTCGTTCAATTTTACGAAGAAATACTAAAGCCAATTACGCGAGCATCTTCTCCAATATTTTCATGACTGATTAATTGAACACAAGCATCCATAATGTCCGATAGAAACGATCTTGGACTTGTAATGTGGGCAAACACGGCGTCAATAACGGTGACACCGCTTTTCGTTTCTGCCGATAAATTGCCACCGTGGTCAATCAAAACTCGAGCGCATTCACGATAACTTTGATAACAAGCTCGATAAAGAGCTGTCTGACCATTCTGTAAAAAAAAAACATATGGCTTGTATACATATGCAGGGTGTATGAAAAGTCGTGGATTTTTAACTAAAGAAATTGGTCTCACCTTGTCGCGTATGTCAATGTGTTTCTGATGTATTTTTTTAAGTAAAATTATTAAGATTTCCAAGTTTCCATCGGATGCTGCGACATGAAGGGGAGTACTCTTCGTGTCGTTACATTGAAAAAGAGGCCATGCGTTGCCATCGAGCAATATTTTTACCGCTTTTGGACTACCCAATTTTGTTGCATGATGCAATGCCGTTAAACCTGTAGAAATAAACGCGTCAGAGTTGTATTATCTACAATTTGATCATTTTTCAATAACTTCTTAAATAACTTGTCTCCATTTCTATAATGAGATTCTTTTTTTTTTACACCGTGGATAATATGATTGCATATACCTGTTTTCAAATCTATGACATTGGTTGAAGCTTTCGCGGAAACGAGAACGTCGATAATTTCAACGTAATTCGACATCTCGATAACGTCGTTGGAATTCACATTATATCCTGCTAAAAGCAAAGCTGTATTACCACGCTCGTCTTGTGCGTTAACGTTTGAACCGGCTTTCACCAAAGTTTTCACTACATCCAAATGATTATTCTTTGCTGCTTGGTGCAAAGGAGTTCTACCGCAACATTCTGGTACCGGCAGCTACGGTAATCATAATACATTGTTGCATTCCTGTAATTTTTATCACTTTCTACTCGTTATCGGTTCGTTTATTTATTACTACGACCTGCGTTTGATAGCATTACTTTCTTTTCAATTGAAGTAAATAAGGAATATTTTTTATTTGTACACTTTTTCAATACATAGGTAACTTTAACGACAATTGTTAAAAACAAAAATGAAACGATAACGAAATAGCAGCACTAAATAATTGCAATAATAATGATCAAACTAACGTCTTGACCAATGAGACTATCGACTCTATCCGTTGATTGTTTTTGTAAATCGTGCCTCCTGCAGCAGAATTCAATGCCAATTTTAGTTTCTTTTAAGCTGTTCTGTTTTAATAACCATTGGGTAACCTCGAGATGACCAGCATGCGCGGCATAAAACAAGGCACTTCTACCAATTTTATCGGAAGTATTAATATTAGCTCCTCTTTCGTAAAGTTGTTTCAACAAATTTAAATGACCCTTCCAAGCGACCAAATGTACCACGGTGATTCTAAGCAATCCGACCGGTTGAAGAAGTTCATTGCTGTTATCTTCCTTTAAAATTTCTAATGCTTTTTCAATATCATCGTTCTCTATTGCTAACATCAGTTTTATTCGATTTGGATTGTCATCCATTCTTTTAACGATTACTTCATTTATACTTCAACAAATCACAATATTCTTTTTACGCATAAAAATATAACTTGATGTAGTCGTTTACGTGTTTTTGCGCAATAGTGTGCTTACGTTTCAAATACTCAAAAAGAACTGCAACGTATACTCTATATGATTAAAGCTAAGGCCGACTATTTTCCTCGTAATAGGAGGATGTGGTTTTGCAAAGGATGTGAGTAGTTTCTTAACTTTTAAGGTATGAATAAGTCCGGTGTGACGTCTAAAATTTCGACGTTTTTTCATCAATTTATTTTATACATCAAAATAAAACGCAATTGTTTTGAAATTTAGATATGTTTTTATTACTGTCTTCAAGTGTAGAGAAAAATTTTTTTTTTCACTTCATTTTACATACATTTGTTTATGATTTTTTAAGTCAAAGTGGTAGTCTTAGACAAAAAAGTAGGTTATCTCAGGGAAGCATACAGCCTTCCGTAGTCATCTGAAACCACAAATTCAAATGCCGGACTTTTGTTATTTTTACAAAATGTTTGCATATTAGAGGTTCAGTCATTCATGAAAAAACGTCGAAATTTTGGGCGTCACACCGGGCTTAAAACCTTCAGAAAGTTTTCTCTAATTTCATCTAATCTGTCGTGATTAACGATCGATCCATTTTTATCAGGGCAATTAAACGTACTCTTAACAACATCCTGTTTACATCCTTCGAATTAACTTACTCCGATAGATACCATCGTAAATCTTATTATTCATTATTAAATCGATATTCTTACTTTCCTTCTTTTTCTCCCTAAGAATAATTAATTTTTTAATAATCAACGAGGAAAAAAGCAACTCGATTATATTACCAAGAAAAGTCTGATTTATAAGTTTGTTAGAATATATTTTGCTGATGTTAGTAGTAAAAATTTTGCTTTGAAAAAACTCGCATAATTCTAATCTTTGTGCATTATCATAATCTATTCTTATTTTAGTTTAACCTTCTAACGTTTATCGCTAAACTAAACGTAAAAGGTATTCGATAGAGCAAGTAAATAGCGACATAACATTTCATTACCAAACTTGGACTATTTGATATGCATTAGTATTGATATCGAATCCGCTAAATAGAAATGAATAACGGATAACGGATAACGTTTTCTACCTCGGACATGTTTCAAAACAGGAAAGTAACTTGACTGATGGATATAGGTGGCCTTAAACGTGACCGTTATCGGCCGAATATGCGTACGATTACGTCAGTACGTACTACATGGATATCCCTTCAACTAAACTTATATAAGTATGAATATGTAGATCTAAAAAGCACGCATGCACTCTCACACACACACACACACACACACACACATATATAGAAATGAGCGGTATAAGCACCGACGATGAACGGCTTCAGCTACGATATTTCTCGTTGAACGTCAGGCACCTATACCCTGACACAACACACTTGCGTTCTCACGTTCAATCAACCGTATAGTATTGCGTTAGCTAGTAGTAGAGAGAGAGAGAGAGAAAAGAGAAGAAGCAGTGGGACCAGTACACGTTTGACCACGCTGCCGAGAACATCCTTCCACAACTTGTGCGACGTTAGCCAAGAGAGAAAACCGGTTCCGAAGATCTTTCAACAAAGATGCCCAATTGTCCAAAGTGCGGCAAACCAGTGTACTTCGGTATGTGTCACGTTGAACATGCTGATCGTAGAGAAGCCGCGTCTTTCATTTTCGATCATTTCATCTAACGATAAGTAGATAGTATCTTATTATTTATGGCAAGGGTCGTGAGAAACTTTGTCGATCTTCGCTGTGATTTACTTCGCTAATATCTTTTACCTTTGTAATAATGTTACAAATTGATTTAACAAATTGACCGACCACCCTCTTTTTCCTCCCTAATGGATGATTTACGAGCATGAGAAAGAAAAGTAGAGGACAAGTATAAGCAATTTTAATTGAAGAAATTCGTCCATCGTATTCGAACTTAGAAAATTATATAACAAGACGAGTTTGTTTGATGATAATGCAAGTGTCGTCTTATGATAATCGCGTTAGGTGAATCACTTAACTTCGATATTTAATATTCGATCGTCTTTCGTCATCTTATCCAATCGTGACATTTTCCTGAGAAAGGAAAATAAAACGAAACGTTCGTTCGTTCGTTCGTTCGTTTTCTAACATTATTACTCGTGCAATGTAATTTATTGAAAATTCACGAGAAACTTAGACAAGTAATAGAATCTTGTTGGATTATAAATTAGATATATGTAAGCAAATGACGGCATCGATGATGTCAGGGTCTTGGACCTCGTGGTTTACCTTAACAAACGTTATGTCAGCGCTTTCGGCGTCTCTGTAATCAAATATGGAATATGAGAGCTCAACGATATCATTGAATGCCTCGCTATATTCATATTTATTTATAATTTTTTTTTTTTTATTGCTTCGTTCTTTATCTATATTTCTTTTTTTGTCTTCTATATATGCACGGAATACACTCGATCGAATGCATAAATATTCACGAAGAATGGGCTCGGTAGGAATACTTCTTCTCAGTTTTCCTTTGCATATTAATGAAATATTGTACAAATAAAATTGTCAATATTTTTTTTTTTTATTATTTATTTATACAAGTATTGAGCGACTTGGTTAATATATTTGACAAATAAAACAAATATATTTTTAAAAATGTATCGGTTTTTGGAAAATGCATATGTATTGTTGCACGAGTATGGATATAGATTGTAATTACGTACATTATACGAGTCCTTGAAAAAAACAAAGTAGATAATAAAATGAATTATTCACTAAACTTGCGATAAACAAATAGCCAGAGTCACGAGTAATTTGCACGTGATAGTAGATATTTCTACAAAATTTGTTATTTTTTATTGAAGAACGTAAAGTTTAAAATGACTCACGAAAAATTACTGTCATTTATACATTTAACAATTGTAAAACGTAGTTTATTTTAACTGTAGAATAATATAGATACTACCAAGAGTCCATATTTAGTGTAACAAATGTATTATTTGAAAAATTAAGATCAAGTATCAGAAATGTGATAGTCAATTGCAAAGTCCCGAAACATGAAATTAATTAGTGATCCTCGAGTTACGAAAAACCATTCGAGCGTACTTTATGAGCTCTTCCAAAACGTTTATTAACATATTATTACGATAATGAAATAAACTCGTTGCACTTTGGAGTTTTTTTCCTAAAGGAACAAAATAAAAAAGAAAAAAAGATAGAAAGTATCTAGTACACAACACAACACAACACAACGCAACACATAAAAATAAACGTTTATGAATAAACGCGGGTAGCACACGTGGCGCATACTGCTAGAAAACACGCGATGCAATAGTATATACCCCCTTTTTTTCCATCCTCCGACACACTTAAATGTAAAAAAGTTTCGTATTAAGGCGGGCCGCTTTTAATTGCTCGCTTCCTCTTTCGAGTAGCACTCTTTTAGACGGCCCGACAAGGTACTATTAGCGTTGAAAGCAGATTTTTCTGTATGCGTTGGCTTCCATGCTTTTGCCAGCCCACCTACGTCAGCCATCGCCGGCCATTCTAATTGGTGCAAGGAGGGTAGAGAATGAACGAAAAAAGGTGCTGTTAGAGGAGGAAGGTTAGCGAATTAGAGAAATGACTCTTCTTTACTTGTCAAGTGGTGCACAAGTTTGAAAGGGAGAGGAAGGGTCATTGGCCTAAAGGCCAATGCTTAAATGTTTAACAGCAGCACCCGGTGGTAAACGTTTTTCGTACAGGTGCGAACTAAATTTCAGGGTGATTTTGCCTACAAACTTGACACCAATCGTAGCGCGATTTTTTGCATTAAGCTATTTTACATTTACGTTTTAACATTTTGCATTTTGCAAAACAACAAAGACGACAAAATGTCCGGCCGCGTGGACAGTGACAAAGGTGCTCCTCGTGCTCTAGGGGGAATCGAGTAATAGGTAGGTGATGATAATAAGACGAAGACGAAGGAAAAGTAGAAGAAGAAGAAGAAGAAAAAGAAGAAGAAGAAAAAGAGAGAGGAAACTGGTTTGCAGAAGAATGGACCAAGCTGCTGCGGTAGTCGTGGCTATGAAACGACTCGGCCGGCTGAGTTTCAAGGAGGAACGGAAAGAGAGAAAGAAGTTGGTGGTTGAAGCGAGAAGCGCTTCTTTTTACATGCCTCGACTCCCCCGAGCAAGCGAGATAGAAAGAAAGAAAGAAAGAAAGAAAGAAAGAAAGGAAGAAAGAAAGAGAAATAGTCCGGGTTGCGTCTGGGATTCGCGGTATACCGTATGAAAAGAACGAGCGCGATAGAGACAGAGAATGAGTACTACGTATGTATGCAAGGGTAGGAGGTTGGCTGGGAGGGTGGACGGTCTACCGAGGAAGTAAAAAAGAAGCACGGGGGTGCAGGGAAAAAAAAGAAGAAGGAGAAGAAGTAGGGGGATGATGTTCCAAGGCTATGCAATCAGCAGCCGCCGATTGTTTGGCGCCCGACAACTCTGTGGGGGTTGCTGCAACGTGGTGCTGCTGCTGCTGCTGCTGCTTTTGCTGCTGCTGCTGCTGCTGCTAACGCAACGATCCGTGCTTGCACACCGTCTTTTCTCTCTTTCTCTTTCTCTTTCTTTTTCTCTTTCTCTTTCTGTGTCTGCCTTTTCGCGTTGGCAATGAACGCCAGCGATGCTTGACGATTATGCGCTCGCTTCTCCGCCGGCAGATAATTAGGAGTTAATTAACTAATGGCCCTTTATGCACCGCACCCTTCTTGTCCGCCGAACTCGTTTTCTCTTTCCTTCTCGTTCTTCTTCTTCTTCGTCTTCTTCCTCCTGAATGGTCGCGTTTCTCTACTCCTCTCGTAATTTTTCAATTCCCCTCGTAGCAGCGTGTACCGTTCTTTGTGTTTCTTCTTAGACGAGCGAAGAGGAACGTTTGAATGCATCCACCAAGCCGCACGCCACCCACACACCACTCTCCTCCTCCTCCTCTTCTTCTTCTTCTTCTTTTCACTCGGTTTTGATACGCCGTAATGGCGTGACACGAAGGAAAAGCAACCTTCTCCTTCTCTCTCCCCTTTCCATACCTACTTTCTTCTTTCTTCCGTGTTGCTACTTTTCGCTGCCTCAATCTCCTCCTTCTCGAGAAATCCTAAAACGAACAGTATTTTCGAAAAGAAAATTTACTGAAAGACGTAGATACGAGTTCGGTACATTCGATATGAGCTAATCAACCGATAGTTGTATCTTCTTATTAAACAATGCAATTTTTTTTAGTAAAGAATTAGAACAAAGATAGATAATGCATACCGATCGATCTTTCCAGTCCTAACAATAAGATACTAATACTCTGAAAGAAAAAGGGGAAGGATCGAAATAATTGAAAAGAAAAGGACCGAAGAGCTTATCGAAGTGTTTACTATACCTAATATCGCGAAGAGGAGAATGATAAAATATTGACAAGAGCGTTGCTTTTGTGAAGTCGTTTACCCCGGGGTCAAGTCGTGACGAAAGAGTAGCAATGGTGGTTGGTGGAAAGGAATGGGGGGTGGGTGGGATGCTCGGAAATATTTCTTATTAAAAAAGATTCGCGACGGACGGACGTTCGTTCGTTCGTTCGTTCGTTGGCTGGTTGGTTGGTTGGTTGGCTGACTGGTTGGTTGGCTTGACCCGAATCGAATCGTTAGAAGGATAAATATTTATTAAGAAGGCTCTCGGGGGAGAGGGAGACGCTGATGGCGGAGCTGAAGTAGCTATTAATTGGAAAGACGAGAATCGCGCGAAAGAGAGAAAGAGAGAGATAAGGGATACTCTGTTCTCTCTCTGTCTCTCTCTCTTGCTTTTCAAAAGACATCTTTTATCAGTTGACGTTCGTTTAACCCGATCGACGACAACGCGATCGCGTGTTGGAGGAAGAAAGGTATACATCTATAAAGAGCTAAAAACAAAGATAAAAAAGAGAGAGAGAGAGAGAGAGAAGTATAAAGGAAATCTCAGAAGCCAACGATACTCGAAGCAATCCATTCTTTTTCTCTCCTTCTCTCTTAGTTATATCTTCTTTTTCAACGATCAACGAGGATACGTAAAAACGTGTAAATAGACGTTTTCATCAAGCCACCATTTCTCTATCTAACACGAAGGAAGTTGCTCGTGCCCACGCACGTGGGAATTCAACGTACTCGGAAAACATAATACGGGCGAAGGGTTAGTACGAAAGATCTCAACTGAATGAAATGATTTTTGTAAGGGCAGCACAATTTCGTTCTCGCGCCTTTAATCAATGCTACGTGCAATTCGATGACGATCGTTCCCCATCGGGAATGGGGCATTCAATTTGATAATTACGAAATTGCTAATGGAACAGATTCTCTTTCTCTCTCTCTCTCTCTCTCTCTTGTAACTTCTCCGAGCTTTACATTTTGATCGAAGATACGGAAGCACACGAGGGAACACGCGTCGCGACGCTTTCCTTTTCTTCTCTCTACACCTTTTTCTTTTCTTATTCTCATCTCTCGTTTCTGTTAGTCGCGTCGACGTTTTCCAGCTTATCTCTCCTCTTTATTTAGCACTTCGTTTTTTCACGCGAAAGGAAAAGGATACGTTGGATGAATGATGAATGGAAACAGATGCAGATATGTCGGTTTTACGCTAGAATATTTTTTTTTTCCTTTCTCTCGGTATTCTTTCCTAACTCCAACTCTATTGTCTTTTGACCTACTTAAGCTCCAACGATAATCCAAGTTATCGTTTGGACCCGTACACGATGGATACTCGTGAAGTTTGAAACTCGGAAAATTGTTGAAAATTTATTAGCGAATAGAATTGAGCAAATTAATTATTTTACTTTCGACAACATGTTAATAAATAATTCGATGCGTTTCCAATTATTTCCTTTTCGTTGCTCAAAGCTAAAAGGTTTCTCAATCGAACACACCGAAGGGTTTCTTAATCGAACCAACGTAGGGCTTTCTTGATTCTTATTATACTTGTTAACTTTGATTTCTTGTCTATCTTATTTTTTAAGTGAAAACTTCTTTAGAATAGGGGTTAATTATAAAGTTAAAGTTAAATTATTATCATTATTTATGAAAACATTACGCCTGTAGGGATGTTACCCTCCAGACACAGTTTGAAAATATTGCTTGCGAGCGTCATCTGTTGGGACGGAATTTTTTTCTGCCCGAAAGTTAGGTAACCCGTAATACATACGTGTATGAACAGTTTGAAGTGAAAAATAATTCCGTCCCAACAGATGGCACTCGCAAGCAACATTTTCAAAATGTGTCTGGAAGGTTGCATTTCTACAGGCGCGAATTTTTATAATTATTCTTCGTGTATTCTAACTTGTGTGATTTGCACACATGATTTTTTTTTTTTTTTCTACAGCCGAACGGAAGACCTTTTTGGGTAAAGATTGGCATAGTTCGTGTCTAAGATGTGAGAAATGTAACAAGACGTTGACACCTGGTAGTCACGCGGAACATGAGGGTAAACCTTACTGTAATCACCCTTGTTATTCGGCCCTTTTCGGTCCAGGAGGTAAATAATTATTTATTAATAAATAAAAAATACTGCAATAATCAATAAGACTCAAACATAAATTTCGTTCATTTCGTTTTAGGTTTTGGAAGAGGCGGTGCAGAGAGTTACATTTACAATAAATAAGATGAAACATTAATAATGTGTTCGCGTTCGTTCATTCATTAACGAACTTAATACTAGTATTAATTAATTATGAAGCTTACTGTAAGAAATATATTCATCGGTATATATATATATATTTATGTATGTATGCATCTATATTAACCCTTTGTAATTTAATTCTAAATTAAATGACTCATGCGATACTTACAGGTATCAGAAGAGACAGATCCGAGCTTTCGTGTTTTCTTTTGATATTTTTTTTTTTTAATTCGATAATAAATAAATAAAAAAAATAATAATAATGAATAGAACGTTGGTTATTGCATATCTGACAAGAAGTAATATTGTAAAATCCACACAATTACAGTATGTGTGAGTATTTATTTCTCGCTCTCTTTACAAGCTAAATTGGAACGCATTTTATCGAGATAAGGATCGTCTTTGACGCAAGGATAACATCGTACTTTCTCTCTCACTCTCTCACTCTCTCTCTCTCTACTTCTTTCTTGTATTTTTTTTTTTTTTATTAAAAGTTCATCATCGTTCTCTCATTGTTCGATCATTCTCGTTACTCCTTCGCACGCGCGAAGGCAACTTCAATTTGGAAAATCGATCACGTACGGAGATAGATGGGAACGGCGAAGCAGGTCATCGTATAAACCTTTCAGTATTTATTTAAAAATGAATTTACAGAAATCAATGAATACTTTTGTTCCATTCGTTATTTAATACGTACGTTCGTTCTTTCGTTCGTTCGTTCGTTCGCTCATTCGTTCGCTCTTTCTTTCTTTCGCGTTAATTATGAGTAGGTTGAGGAAAGTAAAAAAAGAAAAAAATGAAAAAGGATTTCTTGTGATTGAACCAAAATTACAAAATATAAAATGAAAGAAAAAATCAGGCAGATCCTTCGGGTGGTAATGATGAATGGGGTGGATGAGGGTGGTTGGTTGACGAACGTAGAAAAGCAACGACAATCAAATCGAAATTCACAGAATTCTTGGAAATTGACAATTTCTTATTTGTTTGTCGATGCTCGTTAGAATTGATTATCATCATCTTCTTATTCTTCTACTTCTTCTTCTTCTTCGTTATACCTTTTTTCCCTTTTAAACTTCCGTTTGTTTTAATCCTCGACTCATATATCGTTAATTTCAAAAAAATATCGTGTCTCGTTTCCATTCGTTTCCATTCGTTTCCATCTTATGGATGCAAATGCAAACGTTACAACGATATATACAACAGATATAGCTATTTTCTTGTCTTCTTGTTAAATCTCTTCTTCTTTTCTTGTATGTTTTTTTTTTTTTTTCTAAACGGATTCTTTGGCAAAACTTATTACACATAGGTCGACGTTATAATTAATAAATAATAAAGGTATTAAATAATAATAATAATAATAATAATAATAATAATAATGATGATGTGACAATGATGATGATGATGATAATATCGTAATAATAAAAGTAATAGTAATAATAATATTAATATAATAATATTGTAATAGAAATAATAATAATAATAAGAAGAAGAATATTGTAATAATCGTGAGACAATAAAATGAAATGAAAATATCTATAATAGAAAATAAAAAGAATAATAATAGTAATAATAATAATATTATAATAATAATAATAATAATATTAATAATAATAATAATCAATAATTATTACAATATAATAATGAATGAATTAACAATTGAAAAGTACATATTTAGAGACGTGAACTTATCTTCGGATGAATGAATGTTAGAGACGCTTACGACAGGGACCGCCACTGGTTACCGTATTCTCTTTTTGTCATATGGGGGTAGAAATATGGTAGAATAAAAGCGGCCCTTTTCGATCGGTAACAACCCAACGTTTCCCTCCTCGTTATCGACCAGGAAACAAAGTTTCTTCCTTTCGAAACGTCGGTTAACAATTTATCCGTTATATTAAAATGATCGTTATCGTCGTTGACAAATGAATGTGATTAGAAGATAAAAGAAAAACAAAATGAACGTACGAAAGCACGATTCGTTAGGTTCGAACGAATTAACGAAGGTGTAGGTATCTTTTTTAATCAAAAGTGAACAATTAATTAATCCGAATAAGAAATAACAATAAGAAATAATGTTCGTTAATCGTACGTAACACGTTCGTATTTCGAAACGAGTGGAGGGAAGAACTGCGCGTTCAATGTTTTATAACTTTTGTGTATTTTTGGTGTATGAGCGCAACCTCATAGGGATGATAACATCATCGTCGATTATTTCAATTATCATGGCGAATATTTGAACAAGTCGTATGATTCCTGTGTGGGTGGTCAAGATGTGCAGTGGTCAAGATATGTTTTTCCTGAATTTCGAGGTAAACTCTCAAACTTTTTCTACTAATTAATCATAAAGCAATTTACAGGAAACCTCTTTTATAACACGGCACATTTTTTCTACAACGCCTTTTCATTTTTGATCGTAAGATAGTTCGAGTATTAGAGAGAGAAATCCTCGATACCCCACGCGAGTATAATAATTATTTCAATAAAATATATATTATTTAGATATTGTTTGGAAAGGTAATTTATTTGTTGATATCAAGTGTTGTTTTCGTACGACTCGAATTCGCATAACAGAGGATTTTTGAGGTACCTAACGACCGTGTTATATCGGGGTTACCTGTACGTAAGGTACGCATGCGAGCGATCTCTTCCTTCGTTAACGTTAGCCATTAATTACGAGTGTTCCGTAATTGGCTCGCTCGTTACCGGCCAACGAAACCGCGGAAGCGACAAGCGACTTCCTCGTTTTAAAAGTAATCGAAACGGAACGTGTAACAACGAGCGCAACGAATACGTACGTATGTATATATATATATATATATATATATATATTTATACACACGCGCAATTATTATTAATTAAAATTATTTACATAGAGATAACGATCTGACATTCTTTCCTTCTTTTTTTTTTTTATATTGCAATTAGACATTCGTTCTCGAAAATAAATTTATCTATGGCTTAATAAAAAAAAAAAAAAAAAGAGAAAATTTCTTCGACATCGAGTTTAGCGCTTTCGTTCCGCCAGCTTTTTTTTCGGATTATATTTTCTACGGAATAACAATAATAGTAGGGATTCGTGAAAAAGTTAAGCGCCGTTGGACTGACTGGACCGGGTGGTGGTGGTGGTCTTCCGTTTTCCGGGAGACTGCTCTAATCTTTGAGCTATTTAGGTCAACTTCCTCACGAATGCCTTGAGGTGCACGAATTCATTCAGGTGCACTATTCCCACAATAATATACAAAATAATATTAACGCGTTAATTAGATTCTTCTTCTTCTTCTTCTTCTTCTTTTAATTTAGATATGGAAATGAAACAGAAATTAAAATCTGCCGATATATCCTGTGCATTACTCGAGGCGGGAAACGTATGCACGTGAATACGTTTATTATGTACATGTGTCTTCTTGAAAACAAAAATAATAATAATAATAAAACAGGAAAAAAGAACACGAGAGAGAATATCATTGAATATATTTATATATATATATATATATATCTATATATATAGAGTCGCACGATTTTGAAAATTGTCTCCGACTGACATGAGCGCGCGACGGCGTAAAAACATTTGCATTTGTCATTTTGTTGGTTTTTTTTTTTTTTTTCAAACGACGACGTTCACTCATTCCTTATTACTTTCGACGATCCGCGTGTGGTCTTTGGTTTCTACAAAAAATATATATAATATCCTTAACAGTAGCGATCGCGCGTTACGTCGACTTCTGATTTAAAAATCTCAATAAACTTATCGATTACTCTCTGTTATACTTTTATATCCTTAGGGAAGGGAAAAGGGAATCTTCAAGGATTTTTTAGGATGAGGGTATTTAGGGATGATAAGGAGTAATAAGGGGTGGTGGTATTTCTCGCGCGGGCTACCAACGCTTTTTTTTTCTTCCTTGCTTACATAGGTATACTTTTTCGATTAAATGGTGTCCGTATTCATTTTCCTTTTTTTTTTTTTTTTGTAACATTCCATATCTATCTCTTGTGTGTATCATATAATTTTAAATATGTTTGTTTTTTTTTTCTTTTCTTTTCTTATTTTCTTTTAATCTCATTCGATTAGAAATCGAATAAGGACACCATTCGAATTGCGTTCGTAAAATTTCCATACGAGATGTTACTCCCGAGAAGAAGTTCCCCCATTGTACCTTTTCTAGTCGTAGTTTGTGAACGCAGAGACAGATGGTACGAGAAGCAGCTTTCGCGAGTAACGCGTCGTATGCATTGCACGCTCTCCGATCGTTGATTGGCCGAGCAGATGCTCGCGGCAAATTTTCAAAGACAAATTTCTTCGAGCGGGACAATTGAAATGATGGTGACGAGCATCGTGTGCGTCGACCGATCAGCGTGTGCGTCGGGCGTCTTTCGATAATTACGCTATAAACGAGGATCGTTAAATTAAACTATCTAGCGGCTGCGCGCGTCCTAACGAAGAAAATTTCTAACGCTGTTCCGGGGAAGGAAGGTCTCTTTCCCTGATCTTCGGTTCTTCTTTAGCTTCCTCTCGTTTCTTCCGCGTTAGAAGACAGTCTCTCGCAGCTCGATAAACTTTTTTTTCTTCTTCTCCGTTTCCAAGATTGCTTTCTTCTTCGTATCACGAAATAAATAAACTACTAATGTAAGAGACGGTCCTTTTGCTCTCGAACCACTTGGCTCGAACGCGTTTTTTTTTTTTTTTATTTTATTTTCGGCCGGATTTGTTGAATGAGAAGAAACGAGAACGAAAGAGGCAAGGATACGAGAAAGAGAAGGATGTTTCCTCTTCTTTCTCTTCATTTAATCCTTTCTCCATCCATCGTACTCTTAGCGTGAAAACTCAACAGGAGATCATAAGTCGGTAAGACGGTTTTTTTTTTAGAGTTTTCCGAATGATATGGCGTCCGTTTTATCCGTGATCGGTCTTTCAGAGTGAGGAATCACGTGACGCTTTTACCGATCAAGCCAGGTATAGGTCGGTCGGTGTTGAGGTGTGATCCGGCTTGGTGCAAGCACTTCCGGTAGGTGATGCTGCACTCGCCCCGCTACTCGCTCTGGTAGCAGCCAATGGCGAACGACTAGCCACGTCAGTGGTGCTTTCAGCCCCACCACTGCCATTGTTGCACGCTCCGCCTGCTTGCGCATTGTTCTGGGAAGACGCCAGCGTATCTCCGTTGCAGTAGTAGTACGTGGAATCTGTTTATTTATAATAAAACAACTATTTATTATCTTCTACTATTTACAGGGAGCGTCCCTTCAAATTGCAGACAATTACTTCTACTCAATTTTTTCTTATAAACTATTGGTATTGTACGATTTTAAGAGACGCTCCCTGCATGCATTTCTATTTCGAATCACAGTACTGCTAGCCGCGTCACCGAAACTCTAACGAGATTATCCAATTCGACGTTTTTTTAGAATATTCATTTTCGCATAGACCTACGAACGTTTTAATTGTTGGTATTTCGTTGACCCTATGCTAATCGGTACTCATACTCACTGTTTACTTACTGAGCAACCCGCTTGTCGCTGCTCCATAGCCATATCCACTGTACGGTGCACTTGAGTATTGAGAATACGCTGCGCTGTACGCATAGTCGCCACCACCTGAAAAGATCCGCCAATTGGAATATTAATTTAGCTGAAATATTCTATATTTGTAATCAAAACGTTCCGTAAATACTACTTTTAATTATAAACGACGAGTTGTGTAGTTTATCGAACACTTCCAAACAAACGAACGAATTCACGATCTATGCAGACATTTACAACAGGTAACACAGTTACGCAAAAGTGTTATATCGCGGATGTGTAAAAGATGTGTGTCGTGTGAAAACAGCCATAAGCGTTTGCTATGTATCTAGTTTTGCAAATGTAAAAGCGATTTTGTCGCGAAGAAGAACATTTTCTTGAACCGATAGGGGATGCTATCAACTTTGAAACGGAATTACCATCCGTGGAATGAAGGTTCCAGAGACGCGTTATCGACTCTTCGTCGAAAGGGTTGAAATTCGCGGTAGGTTGGTTTGTTGGTCGGTCGGTCGGTCGGTAAGTCGGAGATCACGTTAACCGTGATCGTTGACTTACCCTCCGACAAGACGCGTCGCGGTCACGTGAATCGACCTTCGGAGGGTCTTTTACCCGAAGGTCAACGGTCTCGTTCGCCGCACACTCGTTCGTATACTCACCGGTGGCGTAATGTCCGAAACTTGGAAGCATCGTCGAGTAGGGTGGTATTGCAGAGGCTACCTGAGGTTGAGAAACTGGCGGCTGCAAGACCGTAAGTCCGGGATCCCCTCCCGGGGTGTTGGGGGCCGCGGGGGTGGCGTTCGTCTCGTTCTGCAAGGAAATCGGGGGACTCTGCTCGCCCCCGCCGGCCCCAACCCCTACGTACGAGACTGCGACGGTACCGCTCTCTGCTATGGCCATGCACAACACAACACGACATTCGAGTCAAGCACTAGCTAACGATCAGCGCCTTACGTCTAAAGCTTATTTCAATCGATGTGAGTTTATTCTTCGGGAATCGCTTTGGGAATCGCTTTAGGATTCGATCGTGGACTGGATAATTAGACGTTTAGGTATCCAAGGATATAGGTATTAAAGTAATAGTTGGGTATTTGAGGAGGAAGGAATTGTAACATTATAGCGATATCGCGCGTACATTGAAAGAACTTGAACGTATTGGAAAAACCAAAGTGTCCAGGCTTGAAATGATAATAATATACCTTAGGGCTCAGGCGAGAATCGTAAAAAAACTAAAGAGGTGGCGAACTCACCGGTGGCGTGGTAAGGAGACATGTTAGCCCCGTCCAATGCTTGCATCGTCAGTGGCGCGAGCGGCGTCAATGTACCACCTGCTATATCAAGGGATCCCCATTTTTCCGTTATTTCAATTCTCCTATCGTTTACGATCGATCGATCGATCAAAGCGGAACGTTCATATTGATTTTATTATTGGAAACCTAATTTGTCGTCATTTTTTAACCCTCTTCCTAACTGTAATCTTTATCAATGGCAACAACGACGACGAGTCACTTAAGAATTGGCCAGCTTTCTCAAAGAAAATTCTTCGCAAATCCGTAAAAAGATTTCCCCATTGAATTTCATGAGATGAACCGACCGTTACACGGCTCGCTTCGTCCATTCCGCGAAGGCATCGGCATCTGTAGCAACGCGTTCAACAATCTCCTGATATCTTTTTCCCATGTCAAGGGTTACAACTACAACGTTCCACCGTTGATCGATCTTCGTTTTTTAAAAAGAACCAAAGAGAAAATGTTGGCTAGAGAATTTGCACGTGGTGTTTCGGACAGGGATGATACTTAGAATGAATAAAGGGGATGTAGAAAGAGAGAATAGTCTAATGAGAAAAAGTACTTTTTGTAGAAGCTGGGAGCAAAGAGCGAAAGAATGAGAAAGAGAGAAAGAAAGAGAAGGATAGAAATAGAAAAAGATAAATTTGTCGAAGGTTGAAAATTCCAAAAGAACCACCGAGTGAAGCCTTCCGCCACCTCTTCGGCCGTTGCCGCTGTTCCTCGGCACAGCTCATGCATTATTAAAGCCATGTATTTAGCCGATATGGGTATGCAAAGCAAGACGTAAGCCGCAATAATAAGCGTACGGGGAATGAGAGGAGAAGGAGGAGCAAGAGAACTGTGCGATGAACGTATATAGGTGTTGGATATGGTAAAGGAGAAAGAGTACCTAAAGGAGAATCAAAGAGGGGATGAAGTGGGTTCATGGCGTAGAGACGTATTATATACACGTATAAGGGGTTGCGGTATACACACTACCCAGGATTTTGTGGCTTACGAGGGTTGGTCCAACAGAGCGAGAGAGAGAGAGAGAGAGACAGAGAGATGTAGAGAAACAAAGATATAGAGAAAGAGAGAGAGAGTGAGAGAGAGCGAGAGAGAGATAGTTGTAGAGAGGGTAGATTTGCTTTCTCTCTCACCTATGGTGCCCCCTATGGGCGGGGTATAGAGATGCGGCGTTTGCGCTTGCGTCATCGTACTGATGGTGCCCAGGGAGTCGTAGAGCTCGGCGGAGGTGGCAATCGCGTTCCCGGGGAATCCAGCGTGTTCGTAGTAGGCACCACCGCCTCCAGCACCTCCGCCACCTCCGCCACCACCTCCTCCTCCACCTGCGTTCGTCGTACCGTTTGCACCACCGCCACCGCCGCTTCCTCCGCCACCGCCACCTCCTCCACCGCCTCCGCCACCTCCGCCGCCACCGCCGCCTCCACCTAGCTCGTTCAAGAGCTTGTGCTCGTCCTTGATGCTCCATTTACTCGACCACAGCTGCGAACAGAATGGAAAGAAAGAAGTACAAGAAGATCTCTCGAGTCTTTCCTTTTCGTTTCAGTGCGTTCTATGTAAGTGTACTGCATGTTGTCGTGGTATGCGAGTATGTTTGTTTTCGAGAGTATCGAGGGTCAAGATCGTAGCTAGAAACTCATTCCTTTCGTATACTCACGTTAGAATAAAGTTGGTCGCCATTGTAGTTGCTTCGCTGTCTCTTCAAGTCGTCTTCAGGATGATCTCCCAAATCACGATTGTCATCTGCAATGAATTGTAACAAAGATTTCAAAGATTCCGTACCATTTCAAGCATTCGTATCGCGAGGACAGTTTTCGCGTTTAAATCAGTACATCCAGGGAAATTGTTTTTGCACAAAGAGAGTGGGAGAGAATTGATCTCTACTCGATCATCTCCTCGTATTAGCTGGCTGCATATCAAGACGGGGAGAAATTAAAGCTGGCCCTCGAAACTAAATTGAATCTGTCGCTCTAGTCGCGAATGCTCGACCGGGGTTTGGCGTTTCTCGCGAAGAGAGAGACGATGTATGGCATTGATAGATAGAGAAACAATTTCGATTCCATTATACGTCTTTATTATCTTGTGGCCATCCCGCGTCGTTTTAATATAGAAACACGGGACACGTGGGACAACGACAACGACGACGACGACGACGACGACGACGACGACGATGATGACGACGACTACGACGTCGACGAGGATGAGGACAACGACGCAATCTCACATGAACGAACACAACGACAATATCATATGGGTGTGTAGGTATTATATTTTGCGCGCTTGACTCTCTTTCTATGTACGACCATCCCCTTTTACTCTGTAACCCTGTTGGTTCGTTCGAAAGCCGCGAAAGGGGATGTGTGCGAAGCTATGGACAGTGTTCCGCAGTGTGTAGCAGACGTAGAGCACCAACGTACGGGGTATCTCGAATAATTAAATGACCATCCGAGGGTAGGAGAGACGAGGTAGGATGGGCTTGGCGGTGCCTAGCATAGGGCTCGTTAAACCTCCCTGTCAAGTTGTGATTGTCCGGCCGGTCCCGACTATTCGACCGGCAGGATTCGTTCCTGGACCGCTATAAAAGCCCCGTTTCAAACCTACCATCTACCCAACACATCTACCCAACGCGCGCGCGTTTACTTTTGCTCTCTCTCTTTCGCTCGCGAATTCCACCCCGTGCTCCGTGCCACTTGCTTGAATTTTACGATTCGATCAGCCGAGTTAATCCATCCCCCTACAACTTGCAGGTATCTCTCTTTCTCTCCGTCTCTATGTTTGTCGGTGATTCCCTCGGTTATTGCCTCTCGTACACCGCGTTACTGTTCTGGGATTTCCACTTTTCTCTTTGCCGGAACGAGTAGAGCTTTGTTTTCTTATCTTTGTACAGAAGCGCGGCGCGGCCCAAGTTAAACAATATAATCATTCATTTGTAAAATATTCTTTCGTAATATGGAGAAATAAAAATGGACAACTGGCGCCGTGGAACTTTTGGAAAAGTTGAAACGATTAATGCAAATTTTTATAGCGATATAACCTCCCTATCTCTTTCTCTCTTTTTTCGACTGACCGATGTTCCAAAATGACAAGAGTTACGACTCGTTCAATAGCTAGGTCAAAATGCATATCCACTGTTCCCCTTTTTCTTTTTTTTTTGACGGCAATTCATGAGAACGTAATAAAGAGAGTGAGAGAGAAAAAAAAGAGCAGTAAATCGAATGATTCGATTGATGCTCGTGAGGGCAGCTAGAGAAGAACTCGTGAGCAGAGCAAGCACGTTATTCGAAAGCAATTGAGTCAATGTTAAGCAATACAATACACGAGTAATAATGGACTTTGGGGTGAATCTGGTCCCGTTGCCAGTCCCCTCCAACTTTGTCGTTCAGGACCGATCGTGTGTGTACAACTTCTATGTGTTTGCGTGCTACGTAGGGTGGGACAGGAACGGCCTTTGGAATTCTACGTGGGGCGAAAAGCGCGCAGATGTAACGCGACAACAAACAGCCTCGATAGATTGCAATGCTTCCCTCGAGAGCTTCTTCGTAAATTCGTAATAAGTTGGAGCAACCAAAACCTCGGCGACGGATTTGTCTTTAAATATACTTCTTTCTATCTTTTAGATTTGTCAACGATGCAATAATGCAAAAATTGTTTTCCCTAAATTGACCAATGTTGGAAAGAGTTGTTAAAAAAGTATATATCAAAAAAATTCCCCCTTCGTAAAGCACGATGTTTCATCGGGTTTTGAAAAAAAAAAGTTTTGAATACATTTGTCAAATCTAGGATTGGTCGAATTTTATTCACAGAATGCATACAAGATAAATAGATCAACAAAATGCATATATTCATTTTTTATAAAAGCATTCGATAAAAAATGTACGACGAGCTTATTTCCTTGTGTTTTATTGCTACCGTAACCGAATATTATTTTTGTCCTTGTTTTTGTCGATTATTATGCACAGTGCACAGGACAACACGACGCTACGTATTATTTAGAATAGCCCGGAGAAATGAATTTGTTGACAATGGAATAGTTGTTGTAGTATACGAGACAAAGTGAAAAGTTATTGAATAGAATGATTTCGGAAGGAACGATAAGAGTCCAGCGTTTGCACGTATGCAGAGACCAATAATATCCCAGGAGAGAAAGAGGGAGACTAACTAATGTGTCGTTGGGTCGAGGATATAGAGAAGCTGCTGCTGCGGTCTGTGAAGTTTATAATCTAATACGTACACCCTCCTCCGCGGCCGCAAAACATTGAGTGCTTTCGCCGCGGACGCAACCACTTTTGCGACCGCATCCGTCGCTCGCGTAATTCGATTATATCGAATTACTCGTGTATCATCGGCGCCGGTTCCTGCATTGGTACGAATCGATATATGTGTATACTTATACATTTACGTCCTTCGTAATCCATTCCTAGAATATGTTCGAGAGAGTTGTATATTTTATCATGATACTTCTTCGTACCTGAGCTTTTTCGTCAAAACTCAATTAGAGCTTGTACAAAAACTGACATTTCGATGCTGCGATCAAACATCTCTACAAAATGTGTTACATGAAAAATAATTATGCAAAGTAGAATCAACTGTTAATACTTTATTTTACTGTTATATTCTAATGACAAAAAGTTAGATCACAAAAAAATTGTTCTTTATTAAATGACGTATAACGAATTGTTTATAAATTCGATGCGTTCTTTTTGCATCCGTTCTGTCTCTTTCTCTTCTTTTGCTTCCGCGAACGCGCATCGTCGTAGGTCACGTGTGTACGGCACGTGTCAGGAATATTTCGGGCCGCGTTATTCACGCAATGACAGCAGAATGAATCGCAGCACGTGCTGCGCGACGTTTGACCGATAACCTTGCCGTGTGTGTGGCTAATCTTACTCGAGCCGCGACAACCTCCTCCTCGCGGTAACCCCGATCGCTCGTAAATAAGTACTCTTTCTCTCTCTCTCTYTCTGTATACCCCTTCTTGAAAACAGTTTTATTCGTTCATTCGAAGTACAGGCACCTTGCCATTAGGTTCGCCTTCTTCGAGAGATTTTATCGCGTCGAAAGAATAAAATAAACTCTTACGAGGAATATATTCTCGATTATCTTGATAAGTGTTGTTGCTAAAGATTAAATTTAGAATATTTATTTATTTTTAATTAGAACCGTTAATCTCGGAGAAACGAACGATGAATATGCTAATGCTAACTAGTTGTATACAAATTGAAGATTAATTATCATTTATTATTCATACTTACTCTGTATACTTTGTACCGATGTAAATTTATTCAAGAAACATTTTGTAACCGGGATAAAGTATCGATATAGGAATTCCGTATAAAGTAGAAGGGTGACTCACCGTCATCGGTGCGCTTTCTCTTGATGCTGTTGCCGTTTGGATCCTGATGGTGTGCGGGGATTCCGAGGATGCCACTGATGCTGTAGGCATTGGGAGCGGTGGCCGCGGGATGACCCGTCGGCGTTGCAGGTGCATGGGCTATCACCGACACGGAACCACCTGATCCTGGCTGACCTTGCTGCTGACCTTGCTGCTGCTGCGCCTGCTGTTGCTGATGCGCGTGCTTCGCCTTCTCCGCCGCCTTGTTTCTCACGATTCTGCGAACAATAGGTCGCCGGTAGGTACACTCACTCGGTTCGGTTCGACTCTTAACCCGATAACTCAATACTTTACGCTCGTGCACCATCGAATGCACCATCGAATGCACCATCGAATGCACCATCGTATGCACCATCAAGAAAACTTTGCCGCACGAAACGTACTATAATGCAATAGTAAATAATACATACAGACTCCTTTCAAAGAGAAATTCTAAATTCTAATCTAATTCATTCAAAAAGTTCTTCCTGATGATTATTGTCCTCTTTTGATGCAACGACATTGTTCCCGACAGCTTCCAGTAAAGGGGACTTTGCTGAACTAGCGTGTAATCGTAAACGAGAAGAAGTGTTCTCGAGGAACCTATCTGGATACGTTGCTTGGGCTTCTCCTTGGAGCATGCAACCCGCGCTTATTATCCATGATACATCGTGCGTGCGCTTTGAATGGTCAGTCGGTTGGACGTCGGTATCAATTACCTCGGTGAATATTCGCGGCAGCGCCGTTAATCTCACCGCGTGCTGCTTGCTCCTCGCAACACCGGTTTCGGTTCGCGGAAGAAGTTCATACGAGGCGCCAACGACCGACGGCTACGCCCTTTCGCCCTTCTATACACTTATGTATCTTTTTCCACACACGGAAACCAACGGAGTTTGATCATTTTTCCTTCTTTCAAATAACTATCCGCTTATTTGCTCGACATATAATTATATTCGGAAATACACCTTTATAGAATATTCATATTTTACTACGTGATTACGATCTTTCTAATTACTTTATTATTTTTTATCTTTCAAATAGCTTGTTATATTTAAACGCGAAAGAATAATTTATTGTAAAAGTGGATTGTCTTGAAAATAGAAGCAGCAAACAAAGTAGGAGGAAAAACGAATCGATTTAGTTGGAAGGAAATCAGCTATAAAAAAATTCAATGCTCCCTGAGAGACATCGATACGTTGAATGGTTTCGCATTACCAACTCCATTTTCTCTTTTCGTTAGATTTTGCAACGGCTTTAGTCAACGGTGGTGGGTCAACGAATTCGCAGTTCGGGATGGACCAGTTCGTAATGGATCGACATTAAGTCCTTCGTTTCTGTCGTGAATGTGTTTGTGGGCTAGGTAATCGTGAGGGTGCGAGTAACGGCGATCAATCAGAGGACACCTGTTGCCCGAACTCCCTCGTTCGTTCGCCACCTTCGCCAATTCGCAACAATTAGCAGCGATCCTTATCAAGGTTAGGCTCTAGGGTGATTAGAAGGTATCAAACGGTGTTATGCAAGAACGACCCGACTTATCGCTCTACGTCATCGACATTAGTTTTATTAACGTTAACGTTTACGTAATCGTTCAACGATTATCATTAATTAACTCTACAACTTTTACGAATACGAATTTCATATTAAAAAGTACAAAAAGTACATATTTAATATTGTTTTTTTTTGCACAGTTTTTTCTTAGGTGGAAATTAGTTTCCACTGGTCTTCCGTGGTGAAATCGCGGCGCGTGTCTTTCGCGAAACTTAAGGAAACGTAAGAAGCGTAGACACCTACATAAGTACATACCTAAGTAAAAATGCGAGAATATACGTAGAACGAGTTAACCGCACGCGGACTATAACGAGCATAATCGGCAATTTAATTAAGTGCAACGACTCGTCGGGGCGTTCATGTAACAGTTTGAGATTTTATCTGTGCCGCGGTGCAAACGAGACTACGAAGCAAGCAAGCAAGTAAGGAAGGAATAAACAAGCGCGTTTTCTTCAAACTAGGAGCTTCGAGCAAAACCACAGTCATCATCGGCATCGTCATCGGCACCGTCATCATCATCGTTGGCTTCTACCATCTAGAAACGTGCTCGCGTTAATTGGCGCTGCGTGCTATGCCGAAGGAACTCGAGTATATCGATTCGCGGATATAAGGAAGGACCGAAGGGTTCTTTTATGGTTGCTCCTTGTCGAGAAAATCGAGAAGAGAATGGTGGAGAACGTAAAAAAAAAAGAGAAAAAGGCTAAATGGCAACGAAGAGGAAATGTTAGGATTTGCTTCTCTCTCTCTCTATCCTTCTCTTTTTCCAGCCCTCTTGCACTTCATCTAATCATTGAGTGTCTCTGTTCTGTACGGACCACCCTCTCGTGGTTTTATCTACGCCCCTGTTGCGGTCTATGGCCCGTAACGTTGCACCTTGCCTCAGGATTCCGAGTCGAATTCCGTGCACTTTAATGCTTTCTTTGGGAAAGAGAGAAAATTCGGAGTCACGAGAGGGAACGAGCCACGACTTTAATCGAGTTCAATTTTATTCGGCGACAAGTGACGCGTTCCGGATCTCCTGGCAAATGGACGAATAAACGTCCTCTTCTAAGTATCTCATTTTTTTTTCTTTTCCCATTGTAAACAACGAATGTAAGATTTGATGATTAATTTTGAGTAAAAATGTAAAAAAAGGCATCCACGTGTTTGAGAGGATCGAAGAAAAATCGTAGGTGACGCCTATATTCGGATGGCGTAAACGAGAATTATGAGGGTGGCACGTGGTGGTGGTGGGAAGAAGCCATTCTTTCCCTGGCGCCAAACGATCGTTCCCAAACGGCCACTCCAAGTAAACTCTCTTCGACTTTCCCTTAAGCGTTTTGATCCACCCCTATGATCTTCTTACCTATCCTTTATCCTTATCCTTTGTTCTTCAAAATCAAAAAGAAATAATAATATAACGAGAGATAGAATGTGTGCAATGAAAAATAACTGAGGATACCTTCTAGTGGTACTTGGTCGGTTATTATTTCAACTATACGACGACGAGAGACGCGATTTACCATCGAGAGTATCCATTTCTAGAAGCCATTTTCGACGTCGCCGTTTTTAAACGACTCCGAAAGCTGATTTAAATCACCGGCCGGTCGTACTATACTACTACGCTCGTATCCGCTACGTATCCGCTCGTATTCCAACGTAACGTCGATATCGTCGCGTTACTTTATCGGGACTGAGGCCAAGTCGATCCATCGAACGATAACTTTCGAGGATACAGAGAGAGAAAGAGAGATGGAAATACAACATAAAGATCATACTCAGATCCTCGCATACATTTTACTTTACATTATTAGTTCGTAGTTTATCGTGAAATTCTTTTTTCCTTATCATATTTTCTTTATGGTTACCTATAGCGTTTTTTTCTTTTTTTTTTTTTTATTAAGATATAAAGTAGCATATTATTTTATTCCACGAGTTTTTCTTGTTCGATCATGCCTTGACCATCTTAAGAGATTATTGCATATATCTGGCGATAAGTTTTTCTCTCTCTCTTTTTTTTTTTCTTTTTTCATAAATTCTTAGATTCTTATTCCTGTGTATCTTGACAAATATAACGATGGAAAGGTATAGAGGTACCAAGTAGTTCGTTGGGTCGTTCTTTCGACGAACAAACGCGTGAAGCTTACGAGTTAGAAAGCATGGGAGTTAAGCTACTACGATGGCGGCCCAATGACGACGACGACTACGACGACGACGACGACGACGACGACGAAGAGGAGGATACGGTCGTGGTATGACTCTGGAACCACAAACTTTAATGTTGGCATTACTTTTATGCGCGACTTTATGCCAAGTATCCCATCAAATATATGACCCGCGCTTCTGCGCTTCTCTTCTCGTGCGCCGCTTCGCAGAAGCACACTCTCTATGTACTATATAGTATATATACACCTATATACGTAGGTAAAGTTACCTATGTTCGTCCTTATTCGCCACCCTCTCTCTTTCTCATTCACCCCGTCCCACCGAACTAAATTATTGCGAATAAAACTTTATACTCAAATTACCTCTACGCGAACTTTATCGCATTTCTCAACGCGATGCTTTCTCCAAGGGAAAGAAGCAAAGAGAGAGAGAGAGAGAGAGAGAGAGAGGGAGAGAAAATGGTAGGAGAAATAGGAGGTTTCAGTCGGTGTTAGAAGAGGATTTAAATTTTCTCTCCAACGGAGAGCGTCGGAGCTTAATTTCTTCGGATTTAATCGCCATTTATACGGTCCGCTTTCGAAAGGAGTGTCCTTCGAGCGTAACGGGAACGCGCCTTTCTTAACGTTAGTATATACACATTTATAAAGTACAGAAACGATACGAGATACCATAGTGTGTTATAGCATCTATGTGTTTTTTTTTATCTAGGTCGATATATCCTTCGAATTAATTTCATTCGATATACAACGTTAATAATTAATATCTCATCTCTTTTCTAACTCGCCTAGGTCAGCCCTTTTCCTCTGTGCAACTTTTTCGCAAATCAACCGACGACAGGTTACTCTCAGGTGAAGAGATTTATTCGCGAGATTAATATCGGCGCTTTTAAAGTTATTACAGGCCATTATATGCTCCCCATGGAGAATTGTGTGGAGGATTTCAATGGGGATTTTCGGAGGATTTAGCAGCAGCATCCAGGCAGATGCTACGAACTATGGACTAACGCGAGAATATAACTCTAGAACGGAACTCCTCTCTCGTTAACTCCAGAGTCAAGAGAATGAAACAGAGAAAGTAAGAGAGAAACGGAGAGAGAGAGAGAGAAAGAGATGAATAGTGGGTGTCGAGAAGAAGAAGAAGAGAGTAGCGAGAACCGTTCCGTCGCGCCATAGACACAATACGGGACTCGCTCCATGGCTATTGTACGCCCTTCAAAGGAGCACAATGCCTGGAAAAGGTGTATCCTGATATTCCACCACTTCGTTCTCTCTCTCTCTCTCTCTCTCTCTACCAAGCTACTCACGTTGATTCTTGAACAAAAGTTATACCCTTTCCTTCCATCCATCTTATTGTTTTTCTTTAGACTTTCTTTACTTATTTTTCATATTATTGAACATTTGTATTTTGTCTAAGGCAGATGATAGAAATTTCGGACACGAGTTTCGGACAATTCCCGAATTTGTAGGTTCACAGTGTCAGAGTCTTCTTAATCTTTCGAGGGTTGGAAGAGTGCCATCGAAAGGATTCGCTAGACGAGCACGAGGAA